TTGTTAAAGCAACATTCACCTGTAAGGCCTGTCAAATTACAATGTATGGTGAAGACAAGAAATTGAGCCATTGCTCTGACGTTCATCAAGGAAACGACAGCTTTCTTGAAAGAGAATTTGTGATTGGGTTGTTCTTCGAATTGGTCATGGACACTTTGAGATGAATATGAAAAAATCTTTCAAGGAACTAAACTTTGAACCTTTCATGGCAGACATAGCAAAAGAGCTTGGATTCAAAAGTGCCGATGCTCAGAAATATGTCAAAAAATGCAGTGACAACCACAAGGCATGGGACCTCATATGCATAGCAAGGAATGCATTTGCAGATGAATTGCTGCGACCATATGTCCTCGAGAGCCTCAACTCACATCAACCATGTACAGTCAATGGATACTTCGGGTATGCAATGGACAGCATACAAAACCCCAACTACAGGTTCATTTATGAACAAATCTTTGTATATAGTCAAGCAATAGTGAACTATCGGGCAGGGCCGAGGCAAAACAAACACCAGTTGATCATAGCAGGAAAGGAGAAGTTCTCGGAGATGTGGTTTTCTCGAAATCACCCAAAGTACCAACAAATCCATGTATGTGACACCCATGACAGATATTGCTACTCAGATGATGTAAGACAAATGGTTACAGCTAATGAGTCTTTCAGCATCACAGGAAATCCCGACAGTGGTGAACTGTTACAAAGGCATCACTAGCTTCTTCCATACAAGAGAAACTACTTCATCTCCCCCAGGGGACAGCCACTGACTATCTCAATGAACAGTGGAATGAAATAAAAAAAAAGGAAGCAAGAATGGGTATATTGAATTCTTCAAGTCAGTGGAAGATGCAGAAATCAGCCAATATCACTTGTTTTTAATCCAAGATTGTAGTAGTTCACCCAACAGCGATTTGATGCCTGTAGGGCCATCAACAGCCGCACCATTGCACTACATATGATATTACTGCCAGAGCGGTGTACACAATTGAAGAGAACTATGCAAAACAAGTACAGAGGTATTAAATAGTTCAAATTGACAATACTCTGAACAAGCGGAAGAGATAGGAGCTGTGTGAGAAATGGGATTCTTACTTGAACCTCCAAAATTAAGACAAGATAAGGAGATGTGCAAAAAAAATTGTCAATTGGTTTAGTTGACGTGATGGATTCATTAAATTTGATCATTCTTGTAAGATTTCTTTAAAGATAAAAGACATTTTCCAGAACCTTCGTTTTAGAGCATTGGCGGCTTTATGTAGTAAATTACATTTTTTTTCTTATTTCCAATATCTCCTCTCATTTATCTTCTTTCCAGCAACGAAAGATGAAAATACTACAGACATGTACTGAAGGCCAAGACATCCAATCAGTACATGTCGATAATCATGGATGGCATGGACCAGAAGTCTACAAACCTGCCAAGGTTCTTGATCAAGCCTAAATCTTTGTCATCAATGTGGAAACTACCGACGCACATTACCAGGGTGATCGCACATGGGACAGGGCATCAGGTCTGCACAGACCTGAAAGACATTCCACATAACAGCAACTTGATATGTTCACCTCAGCATTTGGCATGGGTATAGACATTCCTGAAATAAGAGTGGCTGTTGTATTTGTTGCCTGGTTTTGATGTCTGAAACATGACAACAAATCGGGCGAGCAGGAAGGGAAGGCAATGCAACTAAGGACGTCATTTTCTTAGTACATGTACTAACAAGTTGCTCTCAATGAAGAAACTGAAATGCCTGGCAAATAACAGGTGTATTTGTAACATTAGTGTACTTGTATGATCGGTAATTGAAAAGTCGTTCGTAATTGCAAAACGCATTCAATTAGATCTCACAATTATTACAGGTGTTCCTGCAGTGGCTGTAGTCCTATGCCGGCTGTAAGCAAGGGCGGATCCAGGGGGGGGCCAAAGGGGGCCATGGCCCCCCCCCCAAAACGAAACCGATTTTTTAAAAAAATTTTTATGTGACATCGCAATAAAGGCAGGCAATGAGTACACCACAATCTTTTCCTCAAAAAAAACATTGGTTAAAGTGGTCAGAAATTGCCTCAGATCGCACCACAGAGCATCTAGAATCCAAAAAAATTTCGGGGCCCTTAAGCGGGCCCCGAACCCCACGCCGGAATTTTTTTGACCCACTTTTTGGGGGGACCAAATTTTTTTTTGGCCCCCCCCCAAAATTGTGTTCTGGATCCGCCCTTGGCTGTAAGAGAGTCGGTTTGCTGCAACATATGATGCATCATTTGAGACGACGTTCACAGACCGTGCATCCTGTAGCCTACACTACACGCTACACAATACTGAGCATGCGCAGACATCAATGATATATGGACCTAGTTTCCGCCTCACACACGTACACCTAAGTTTAATGAAGAAAGTGTCCCCGAACCATTCTAGTTGAGTACCAGCGACCCAGTTCACGCTAATGAATGTTTGAATGCTATGGTACCAGTGATTTCTGCATGCCACATTGCAAGTTCACATGTGTTCTGTTCTTTATAATACAGCTCTGTGGTTGATGGTTCTGTTCCAAAATTTCCTGTTAATTTTCTGAAGTATTTCATCGTAATTATAAGTATTAGTTTTCCATCTTGATTAAGTTAAACGTGTGGGTCTTTCTTTTAGTACGATGATGTCATGTCAAGAAAACAGAAATTAGATTTTTTTTGCTTTTGTGGAAGATTTGGACCAAAGAGAATCGGCCATCTCTACATATTTGTCGCCGAAGTGCGACGCTTTAGCGACGAACTTCATTCATTCCAAATTATCAGTGGACGATAAACTCTCCCTGCTTGTTTCCAAGTTTTCCTTTGATGAAGTTCTACGTGTGCGTAATTGTATTGCAACCAGTGGGATTGAAGACGCAGATCTGCTTGCTGAATGTTTGACAGCAGATGCTGAACTGTGTGCAGCATTACTTGCTTTAAGTTCTCAACAAGAAGAGCAGGATAAGGAAGGAGTTGAAGCTGCTGCTACTAGTACTGCTAGTACTAGTACTAGCAGGCCTACTACTACTACTACTACCGTATTTACTCCACCAGTTTCTAGATGCCTGGTTTGTGAGGAGAAACTCACACGAAATCATGCGATTACGACTGTGAAATATTTTTCGTTCACTGGAATTGATGAGGCCAAGAAAATTACTTTGCGGTGCCGTCCCTGCAACCTAGTGTACGACTGGTACGAGTACGGTAGCAAGACAACCTACTGGAAACTGTATGACGAGCAACGTCCGGCTGTACAGGCTAGCGACACTGTGTTCGTCTGTCGAAAGCTGTTTGATTTTCAGTGTTCCCTTGCGTAAGTAGATCTTGAGTGGTCTTGAAAACTTAAGTGTACTCCTAGAACTATGAGGCAAAACACTAATTAAGTACAAAAACGTCCATCCCAACCAAGCTTTTTCCCACAGAACCGCTGCACAGTTTGCCCCTAAACTCCGTACAATACCTCATGACATACTCACGTTATGTGCACCAAACAAACATCGGTGGATTCTGTCGATCTTGAGTGGTCTTGAAAACTTAAGTGTACTCTAGTCCGAGTAACTTGGACCCAACTTATCGCCTTTTTTAACATTTGGTAACGGAACAGGGCACGATCGGAGACATTGGCTGCTTGGCTACCTCACTGATCATCACTACCAGCAGGGAGAAGGCCACTTTGAATATGCGTACCTAATAGGTATGACCAAAGAGTGTCAAACCGCTTGGAGAGATGTCCATGGCATCATGAAGACAAGGTTCTTTCAGCTGAAGAGGTCCATTGACGGTAATTTGTTGTAACCGAACAGGGCAAGACCCGAGACATTGGCTGCTTGGCTACTTCACAGATCACTACCAGCAGGGAGAAGGCCACTTTGAGTATGCATACCTAATAGGTAAGACCACAGTTTGTCCAACCGCTTGGAGAAATGTGCATGGCATCAGCAAGACAAGATTCTTCCAGCTCAAGAGGTCATTTGAAGGTAATTTGTTGTTACCGAACAGGGCAAGATCGGAGACATTGGCTGCTTGACTCATCATCACTACCAGCAGGGAGAAGGCCACTTTGAGTATGTGTACTTAATAAGTACGACCAAAGTGTGTCCAACCGCTTGGAGAAATGGCCATGACATCACAAAGACAAGATTCTTTCAGCTCAAGAAGTCCTTCAAAGGTAATTTGTTAGGTTTTTCAGCACATGAAGGGTACACAAAAGACAGCATTTCTCAGTGATGTACCCCGAGTACAAATCACACTTGACACTTTGTTTGCCAAGCAAAAGCAATTCATACAGAAAATGTTTTAAAAGAAATTCAATGATGTAACCTATCCTGACACAAAGATCCCTTAAAAAATGTATGCAGCTATATAAAATGTTTATCAAGGCTTATTGAGCTGTGTAGTTTTTGAGTTGCAATTTTATATCAATTTGGTTGTCAGGTTCGTTGTTTTTGTCCAAGGGGAATAGTGTGTCTAAAGTGACTATGCAAAGCTTTAAAAAGTTGAGAGAATGGAACAAATTTGGAAAGGGGTTTACAACTGTAGTGGAGATTCCTCAGATTTGAAGGGTAGTAAAATGCTTGTTTCAGCACCAAAGCATTTCCATACCGACTACAAACTGTGATGCATTCACACGCGCTGGCGATCGCATACAGCATGAATGTTTAAAAAATCACTGACTGTACCAAACTAGCGAAGAAATGCTCCATGTATAGTTTTTTTCATACGAATGTTGGCATCTATGAATATATTCCCAACAACTTAGGAAAGAAGTTTAGGGGCAACTTGAAGTTGGAACACAGAAATGACAACCGTGGACAGTTGCATGCCACAAGAATCTCTGGGAGCAATGATTGTCAATTTACAAAACTGGAGGTGAGCATATAAGGCAAAAAATATATTCGGAAAACTTAAACATAAAGTATGAATTTCAAACTGCTCGATAGAAAAACTGCTTGCAGTAAGAACATAGAGAATGGTTGCTTGTCTACTTGCCTAGATTTGATTTCTTTTGCCACTGCACATGTGGGTCTTTCCATAAATTTAGGGTCCAAAATGTGGTTTGTTTTCCCTGCCCCTTTCATCTGTGAACTTGTTTTTATTTGGCATTGACTTTTTATAAATAAGGAATTCAATTTCTTTGTTTAAGTAGGTTTGTTTTATGTAATCCGTCTTGAAGAAAAATAAATTTCCAGCAATGCATCCAGCAATTACAAATTCGTACATAGGCAGATGTATCTCTGTCAGGGAAAAAAGTGGACCCCAAATTTATCAAATGGCCCACATACATGTGCTTTAGGCTTTTGTTTCCCAAAACACAGCTTCTGCATTTTACAGTAACATCATTCTAACCAAGTTAAGAATGCAGTTACTGCTCAAATTAACCTTTTCAAGAAAAAACCTTTAAAACAAAAATTAAACATACTTCTTCTGAAAAGCTTACTATCCCATGGCTTTGAGTATAGTAGCAGGTGCAAATCGGGCAGAGTTGAAGCTGGCAAGCTATCATAAGTCACCGGTGCCCTGCCGGTCACTGGTTACAAACCTACGACATCTTGTTGAGGTGATTCTTGATGTACTGGCCAACCTGGTGCAAGGCCTCGCGGCTCCGCCCTTCCGTCCAGCTCAGCTCCACGACGACCTTCCCGTCAGTGATCTTGACTGTCAGCATGCACTTGAATAGGCACTCCGCCCCTAGTCTGCTGCCCTCTGGAGGGCTGAGTTGTCCAGGTTGACCCTCTGAACTGTCTATGTCGGTGGACGATGTGTTGGTGGTTGGTTCTTTCAAAGCCATATTTGGGTTTGCGCTGTGGCCAGTCTCCTGTTTGCTGTCCTCTGGAGGGCTGATTTGTCCAGGTTGACCCTCTGAACTGTCCGTGTCGGAGGACGTGTTGATGGTTGGTTCTTTCAAAGCCACGTTCGGGTTTGTGCTATGGCCAATCTCCTGTTTGCTGTCCTCTGGAGGGCTGATTTGTCCAGGTTGACCCTCTGAACTGTCCGTGTCGGAGGACGTGTTGATGGTTGGTTCTTTCAAAGCCACGTTCGGGTTTGTGCTATGGCCAATCTCCTGTCTACTGCCCTCTGGAGAGCTAATGCGACCAGTTTTACTTTCTACGTTTCCAGGTTTGTCAGCTGAACTCTCTCGTGACTCCAACATCACTTTGGAGTTTTGGATTGAGTCATCATCAGAAATGCAACCCTGCTCTTTACTTGTATCGCATGATGTTTCTTGAGAAACTGCCCTCACTAAACTGTCCTCATTGCTACCAGTAACTTGGCTCACTGATCCTGAGGAGTCCTTTTCAGTATGACACAAAATTTGTCTTGAACTGTGGATTGGCAAGGATCTGTCATGCACAGTCATGCAGCCACTGTCTCCAGAACGTTCCATTTCAGCTGATGCTAGTTCTTGACTCTCGTACAACATGTGTAATTTTTCAGCTGTATTTTCACCAACCAGCTCTGCATCTTTTCCACTACTACCTTCACCAACATTTGGTTTGGCATTTGTGGGCCTCCCGGGCGCATTATCACAAGCCGGTCTAACCTCAGTTGGTTCTGGGCAAGATCTCATCGTGGTAGCATCTGGGATAGGTGGGGCTTCTTGAGGAAGGCGTCTGCTCATCTGACGTCTCTTCCATCGCTGCTTGGCCCAGGTGTTGCGGTGGGCAGTCAAGGCGTACCTTGAACAGAGTTTAGGTGCAGACTTGGACTTGAAGTCAATCTGAATGGTAGAGATGAAGAAATTATTAGTTTCTCATGAGTGAACTGTACAAAATGCAGATATTTCATGGCTTTAACTGCAAATGAAAAAGAAGGGGGGATGAAAATCAGAGCTAAATTTATACAAACAGCTCTTCAGCAGGAACTTTTTGTGCTTAGCAGTAATAAATTTTTTAATTTTTTTTATAAAGCAGTGAACACATGAGATATAAGCTGTTTGTGACTGCTAAGCTGTTTTTACTTGGCATAAAGTTTAGTTTAAAGTTTGGCATAAAGTTTGGTAGCAATTAAGACTGTTTAGAAGCGCAATAAAATTGACCGACTGGTTAATTAGAAAATCAAATTTAAATCAGTAACCCTTCAAAATCCAACTTCTTTTTTTTGTTGGAATCTGCTGGAGTGAGTACTGCACTAGTAAACTGATTACTTGCTTTACATAGAGTCCAGGCATACCACCATAATCAGAGTCCAACAGTTTGGGTGATGAGTTTACCGTATGGTGTTGGATTTTGCAAGAGTGAGGAAGGTTCCTAGTAAATCACTCAAGGGGGTTAATGAAAACACTGCTTGTGAAGAATCAAATTTTGAAATCCTAGGAACTTTTTAATTTCAGTAAAGCATACCTCTAGTGTCCCCAGTAATTTCTCCATGACCTTTGCGATGGTCTTGACCTTTCGCTGGTCCTCGCTCCCACCGGTCTTAACCTTTGACCCAGGGCTGACCTCCTTCAAGGCTTGCTGCAGGGCTCTGTCTGGGACTTCAATCACCAGAGGAGGGCGCTCTTTGTCCCGCTTGAATTTCTTTGCTGGTGACAAGACCTGGTAAAGTTGGGGGGGGGGGGAAATGAATGTTTTGAATCATTCAGGGAATTTTGCAGGAATGAAAATTCAGCTGGCATGGTTCTTTATAAACTTAAGCTCTTAAATTTAAAGTGTCGATTGTATGCAATTGTTTGGGTCATTTTATTTAATTGTGTAGAAATATATATAATGTGTCTGTAAAGTAGGAGAATGCCGTTTTAAAAATACTTTCACCCAGTTATCTATCTTTAATTCCAGGAATTGTATGTGTCTGTTTGTATTTCAATTATCTCCAGAATGGGGCACTATATGAAGTCTACCATCGGCAGGCGTATCACGCAACGGTGAGGTGGGCCTCGACCATTTGTTTGAAGGGGACGATTGCACAACGGTTAGGTGTAGATATGGCACACTTTTATACGGGCACTGCACTCTACACCGCCACGTTTGTCGGTCTACCAGAGGCCAAGCAATTTGCCAGTTCCAAACAGGCACATTTTGAATGGGCTCTGTACTAGTTAATGAAATAAGGCTTTTTTCCCGATTGTCCCAATCCTCAACAAATTAGCTCAAGTTGTTTTCTGATACTCATTCAAATCAGCAGTGCTTTGTCAACTGTAAACTTGAAAAATGGACTCTCCGTGGCAAACTCTTGGTGGTGCACTGCATTGTGAAATGCCAAAATTAGGCCAAGTTCACGCAAGGACTATAGTTGACCAATGGTTAACTAACGTTTGCCCGAACTCTGTCTAGTCGACGGTGGTTGACTACGCTAGTCGACTATTTGGAACCAGCCTACTAGGGTTGGTTGCTTCGCTGGTAACCAACAGCCGCGCGCATTCATAACGCTAGCAGAGAGCCAGGATCCAGAAGTTTTGCGATGACATTTTGACCAGCGTTTGACTAGAGACGTTCGCACGTTGCTATCAGTGCGCAGGCGTAAGGTACGTCACAAATCAACCACTAGTCGACTAATGGTCCTTGCCCGAACTTGGCCAAAGTCTCTTGCACATTAGCGGTATTTAGGAGGATTCAATAAGGTTCTTAGTAAATATTCTAGGGTGTTAGGGTTGATTCACAATGAATTCACATTGAGACAGTTGCTTACAGGCAGCTTGATATCATCATAGAACGTCCAGGCGATTCCCCAGCGCATGGTACGCCCTTGGCAGAATTCTGTTGTCATCACATTGCGAATCTAAACAGAGAAAAAAAACGTCAACAGAAATTTTTCAAAATGACTTTCCCAGGTTTTTCAAGTTGGCTTATACATGTGGTTTTTCACAATTTCGATTTTCACTTCCAAACAAAATTTAAAGGAATATAATGTCCTGTAACAAATATATTTGCTTGTTTGTTTTTGGAGGCCTTTATATAGTTTTAAAAATTAGTTTTAAATGGCGCACTCCAGTTCCGAATTGCGCACACTATTCTGAACGCATAAGGAGCGTCCCGCTCTTAATTCAAAAGTTGAAATTAATTAATTGATTACTTGTCATTGGCCATTTTTGGGGGCCAACGTCTCAATGGAAAGCTCAAAATGTAATGCTCAAAACTTATCAATTTAATTTGAATATCTATTTTTCAAGGTGCCACACCCAAAGAGCATGTACACATGTTTACACAAACTTTAAGTGTAAAGACTTTTTTCAATTTCTAATAATTCCATAATAAGGTTGAACATGTACAAGTTTGTTTTAAACTTGTTCAACATTTGCGTCATCCACCATTCAACACACACAACACCCATCTGCACTAGTTAACAGGAGGTCTAGGGTTCAGTTCCATCCGAGTAAAAGTAAGCAGTTTTCCTATCACAAGCATTCAAGAAAAAACACCACGTATCACTCCATTTCTTGAAGAGCAAAACCCATGTTCAAATCTATATTTACCTTGTGTTTTGCAAGCTCCTTCCTAATTGGTCCAATGCTTGCTTTCTTTCCAACCATTGACGTGTACCACCTGATGAAAAACAGACAGCATGCGTAAAAGCACAAATCTGATGAGATTTAAGTGAGACTTTGTTTTTAACTTATTGTTAAGCAACCTGCTATGCATATTTTATAATTTTATCGCATAAGCACATTTTTCCACAGTAGTCTATGAATTTTTTAAAGGAAAGTTTCAATTGCCTTGCATATTGCGATGCGAATCACGGGAAATCACTCGCCAACTCTGCAGTCTTGTAAAAGTAAACCTCTTCAAGTTGTGCAAATCCACTTTAGCCTATTGAGTTAGGACCCGCACTTCAAATTCCATTGAGGTAAACTTATGTTGAGTATGGATAAAACTACAAATCCCTACCCTACATAATTTCTTTGTGTGTGTGTGTTTAAAGGGAAAATACAACATTTGCAAACATCAAAAAATAAAACTCCCAAATCATTTTGAAATACCTTGCTGGACTGTTAGTGAATGACAGTGTAAAGCATCCTGTAAAATCATGGCACCTGGTATACTGTCATTTTCAAGAAAAGTGGTATTTTTGTATCAATTTCCAACGCTGATCGGCCGACCAGCGTTGGAAAAAACTTTTTTTTCTTCAAATACTGGCCCCAGTTGACCATCGCACTTGTTTGCAATCGATTACACACCCATGAATGGGTACAAGCCAGCTAGACTGGTTCCCTGACCTTACAATTCCCCAATGTATGTAAACTGCTCTGTTTCTTCTGAAATGGAGTCAGGGAACCAGACTACAGGAAAATGATTGTTTTTCTTGGTTTTTATAGCATTTTCTAACCCAAAACCTCAAAAAAGTCAGTGTAACTATATTTGCCAATATTTCCAACCCCCCAATTCCATCCATTTCTGAAAATTACAGCAAAAGCAAATGATGTATATTCCCTTTAAGCTCAGGGCAAGCAGGAAGATTTGGTCACACTTCACTGCTCTCCATAGTTCTGTTGTTTGGTCCAGTGACTCTCGGTGCAACATCGTTACTTTGACACTTGATATCAGGACCTGTATCAATATGGTTCTACTCACACAACTTGTTCCCTGAGCTGCAGACTGTCCCTGATCATGCGCCCGACGAAGTCCACCTCCCCGCCCTCCCCCCAGATCATCTCGGCCTCGGCCGCCGTGCTGACTGAGATGGGCTCGGACCGGTCCACGGTGCGCGACGTCATGATGCCCTGGGCCTCCAGGAGGTTGCCAAAGAACGGTGGGTTGCACATGCTGAAGTGGTAGAGGCTTCTAGGCGCTGCCTTGACGATGCCATGGAGCATGTCATCGGGTTCAGCTTCAATTACTACACAGAGGGAATTATCGTAGACATAAAATGTTTAACTCTGGTTTCAGGGGTAGTAAATCTGTTTCAGAAAACACTCGCTCCAGAGTTGCTCCCAACTTTTTACTCCAAAGATTAAAATTAAACTCGAAGTTATGAAATTTTCAGATAAATATGGAGAGATTACACACCGGCATTTTATGATTTAGGCCGGAGTGATTCTCTACAGATTATTTGTTATCCTGAGAGATACATGTACTAGGCTATTAGTTTAGATCCTTCGCTCTTGAAATAAATTACAATTCAAGAAACTGATGGAAGCTTCTTACGGCTGGCTTTGGGACTTGAGTTGGTCTAGATGTCCAAGTCTGGATTTTGATTTTATTCCCCTTTTTACGGCTGGTCCATGGCAAACGAGGTCGCTATCAGCAAGATGAATCAAAATTCTGTCCTGGCAATATTGCCAAGCATACCACATGCGCATGCATTAGTTTGAATTCAGCGCGCATGAGGTATCCGTGGAATTTCTTGGGAAGCGCTGCCAATATGGCCAAGACCAGATTTGATTCATCTTGTTAAAAGAGAAGTTCAATGCCGCAGCAACTTAATCATGTTTGTCACAAGACTGACTGCAAAAGAGGGGAATAGAAATTCAAATCCAATCTTAGACTAGGAGTAGACTTGAGAAAGCCTCTGGCATAAACAAAAATTTAAATGAAGTTAATTTGAACTTGCAGATCATCATAAATGCACTTGCCAAAAGACGGGAAGATAGATCAGTTATGTATTACTTAATTAACCCAGCACAATTTACCATGGATTTTGTCATTCAAGTTGTTCCTTTTGACGTTGAGGACTGCAAAGCCGGCTGATGAGGAGTCAACTTCAGAGGCTGCAAAGTGCCAATCGTTGAGCTTGGCTCCTAACAGTGGGTAGATGCAGGACGCCCCACAACCTGTTGAGAATGGAAAAGAAAAGTATTCACCACCGTGTTAACTGATTTACTGAATATTTTTTCGTACAAGTCACAATCATACCAAAGGTGTCCAATCTGAATGAATGGCTTTTTAAACTTAATACCCTCGGAGAAGCCACGCGGTGATAAAATTCTCCACATTTTCCAAGCAAGGTCATAACATTTTTTTCAATGGGCCAATAAGGCCAAGGATCCATGTAATCCTCACCCCTAATATACACCACAAGCCTGTAGACTCCCATTGATCAGGCCTTAACCACTGCAGAGTAAGGAGTGATGAAAGACAGCAGCCCCAAGAGGTGCCTAATGCCTTTGTGCAGTAATTGGAGATCTTAGTGGCCAACCCCTTTGTACCACCGATCTCTCTGTGTCAACCCCTAGATCTCTCTGTGTCAACCCCTCCTGCTGCCCAGAGCTCAGACAGGTCGTAAACAATCCTGGCCCATACAAAGGCCATGTGACCTGCCTATATCTTGTGCATGAGGGGGTTATTGACCTAGAAACAATGTGGTGATAAAATTCTCCATATGGTTTCACGGTGTGATTTTTTTGGTCACTGCTCCGAGGGTTAAATTAAGTATCACATTTTTCAGAACTCCTACATTCAATTTTTTTTCCCCTTGGTATTAAATGATTCAAATTCTCTCATGAATAGTAACACAAGGTGTCAGGTGTTGACTTGGATTTTTCAACATTACTCATGAACAGGGACTTATTTTATAGCGCTACTTGACAGCCTATTTTGTGCTAACATAGCCTCTGTCTATTTCATAGAGACTTTAAGAAGTAAGCAAAAGCATCATGCTCAAACCTAGGGGAAAAGTCACTTAAATCAATAATGCATTCAGTAATTTTCTGCTAAAGTAAGCACAACTTTTCTGCTAACTGTCCATGCTGTTATAAGCAGTGCTATGAAATTGGGCCCTGATTTACACCCTTGAATTCCTTTAGTTTAATTAGAATTTGTCTCTTTAAAGACATTATAAAAACCCTCTAGAAAATCATTCTCAGGCATGCAACTGAAAATTTAGAAATTACGAGAAAACTCCAAACCACACAAGACTTTGGACAGTGTTTTTCAATTTGTAATGGCATTCATGAGAAGTTCAATCTTCAACTAATAAGGGAAAAATGAAATGATTTTAAATCAAAAAGTGCATTTTGTAAAAGCTTTTATTGTAAAGACTTTTATTGTAAAGAAATTTGAGAAGAAAAAAAACTTCAACAATACTGTGAGCGTCACATTGGATGCTGTTCACTGAATGTCGTAACACTTACCAACATCGATTCCGTAGATCTCTCCTGATCTGCCGTGCCCGCTCTGCTCCAACAGATCCTCAATCCACAGGACATAGTTCAGCCTCAGCGGTACCGTGGGGATTATCCTGTCCAGCGGGATCATCAGATCAATGCCAAAATCCTCCCTGAGCAAGGTGCAGGTCAGGGACCGCAGGGCCTCTGGGTCCTTGAAGTCCAGCGAGACGTACCCCGTCAGCGTGGTGGACAGATGCCGCTTGAAGTCTGGGTACTTGTCGGCGAGAGCGGCAAAGTCCGGCTTCTTGTGCTTGTAGCGATTCCTTGGGTGCATGAACTGGTTGAGTGCCATGGCGAGTCTGCATAAAGAAAACAAACATGGTGTTCCACTTAAAACCATCTCTAGATGATTCAACAATGTTTAACACTCTGTAAACTTTTGCCGAGAACTTTCCTAAATTCTCCATTGGACAGAGCATTGTACAGGGAATGGCACATTCCTTGGCTCTGTGGATGCACGTTTCCTACCTCCATGCTGAGCTCTATGCTGTGAAGCACTGACAAATGTCTACATGTAAATTTCACCCATGCTCCACCCATGTGTTCTTGATTGTTTATTGCATGGAGGTCTGAGCAACTAAACAATGCACTTCAAGGAATGTCAGGAATGATATGCAAATGAGCACCTCCCAAACTCACAATGGCTCCAACCAAGGGTTGGCAACCTGCATGACCTGTTGAATAAACCAAACTTCACAGTGAATACTTAATGAGTAAGGCTATGGGAACTTCCTGGGGCAAACAACACCCCCCCCCCCCAAAAAAAAATTCTACACATAACTTGCACAAGTAAACACCTTCAACAGGTGCAATCTATTAAATAAGATGATTTTTTTTTCTGTCAGTTTCTACAGATGTTTCTGGTTGTGGTTTACTTGAAATAAAAGTTGAAAACAAAATTAAGGCAGTTCTTTTTAAAACCAAAAAATTGGTCAAGTCTTATCTACTCTTGAATAAAACATATCTTGTGAAATTTTGATGTAGAAATCTGTACAACCACAGCCTCAACTAAAACGTAAAAGGCTCAAGCTTAATAGTTGTGTTTGCCGAGCAATTTCAAGTTTCATCACAAAAAATAAAGATTCCTTTTCTAAATTGCTACTTTTCTAGCAATACGAAAGTTATTCACTTTTGAATGACACATCGACCGAAAGAATTCAGCCCATGCATAGTTATTGAATTTTTTTTTACTTTACAATTTGGAATTATTGGTTACCAGACAGGATAGAGTGGTTCCCACCCCACAATCAGTATCATTACTGTACGGACCCAGACAGGTAGCCAGTCTGTTCACAAAGGGGATCTGTTTGTGCCCAAAGCAACAGAGGGTTGCCAATGTCCAAAATAAGGGAAAAAAGGAGGTTTTCAGATTGAAATGTTAATGAAACATAAAACAATTGAATTTGTTGAAGCGCACAGGGAATGCCATTTTAAACAATGCCTCGAAGAACAATGGCAGCAAAGGAACATTTTTGAAACTTCAAAATTCAACCATTCTTGTGACCAGGGCGCAATTCCCGTCCCTCCTTCTACTTTTTTCTAGCCAATACTCAGATTCAAAGAACACAGAATTGAACATTTTATAGGGGGATACACTACAATGAAAATCACAACCGAGTGGGGTGCCACTCCAAAAAAATAAGCAGTCTAGCAATTAATTCTCACTACCAATTAACCATAGAGCAAGGAGCAGCATATCAAAAAAGTCTAAAAAGAATTCATTTACTTTTAGTAAGATTTGATTAAAAACACAATTTATTAAGTAGGCCTAAAGGGAAAACTATTTAATTAAAAACTGCATTGCAATGAGGTCCAGGCCCAGCATGGAGGAAGGAAAACAGAGCATGCATGAAGAAGGAACAAATGGTAGTACATGTACATGTATAGCCTGGGCTAATTAAACTTTTTTTCTGCCGGGGCTATACTGTACAACTATGTATTACAACATGCTTTTGCTAAGTGGTTAAAGTTGATGTTCTGTGTCCAAGTCTGTCACAGTGTCAGCACAAAGACGGTCAGAGTCAGTGTCACACAGTTCAGTGTTCTTCACAAGAAACAGAAAAACAGTTGGGGAAGAATTCCATATATGGACATCACTTGGAAACAATTCCATATACCGATTCACTTGACACCCTGTGTACAAACCCTATGAGACTGGTCTGAAAAATTCAAAGTGTTTTCTCACTAAATGCTTAAATATTTTCCCTGCTAAATTTCACTTTTTAGGACATATTTCTGCTTTCTGATGGCTGATAAGTCATTGCAGGGAAAAACTAGTGGCGCATGTATATGAATCTTTCCCATCACTATAGTCCGAGTAACGAGGACTCTACAAATCACCTTTTTTTAACATTTGGACATGGTCTGGTGACGGTACTAACTACTACCAATTTTTCCCCGGGCGGGATGCTTTCCCGACTATGAATACAGATCGCCAGACCATGTCCAAGCATGGTCCAAGTGTTAAAATTAAAAAAGGAGATTTGTATTTCTTAATAGAGTTCGAGAAGTTATACTCGAAGTCGAACTAGACATCACTCATTTTCCCCTTCATTGACCTACATGTATCAGCCATCAGAAAGCAAAAACATGTCCTAAAAAGTCAAATTTTGCAGGAAAACAATCGAAGCATAATTACTGACATGAAAACACTTGGAATTTGTCAGATCAGCATGATCAGTGTCATTGTGGAATGTCAGACAAGTCGACCGTTGAGACAACTCGACTTGTCCCCATGGTCCCGAGTCGAGTTGTCTCAACGGTCGACTTGTCTGACCATGGAGGAATAAGAATTCCTCCATGGTCTGACTGAACTGAGTCTGTAGTGATGTCCACGTATGGAACTCTTTCCAAAAGGTGCGATTTTTTTTACCATCAATCCGAGCAACGCCGATTGATTAACACGCCGAGAAGTGTCTACAAGTTCAACTGTGACTGTGAGACTTAGAGAATAGCGTTATTTATCAGTAAACGTAACGCGATCGAAGCAGTTATTTCGGGGAACTGACGTTTTTGATACGTTTACATTTTTGACAGACAACACGTGCGTGCCCCCGTGCGATGATCGATGGCGATCGGTTACGTCAACAAATTGCTCGGTTCCCAGTCTTCTTTTACAACTCATGCATGCGGCTTAAAAGCACCAGTCTATCCACTTCCAGCAAACGAAAATTTTCAACTTCCGCGTTTATGTACCGATGCATCATGGGAAACATTTCCACATCGCAAAGTTCGCGCATGCGCGAGCGTGCATCCTGGATTAAATTTCAACGTGTTGGAGGAGACGGAAAAGCCGTCTTTCTCGGCCTCTGGCGCTTTACCGTGATCAAAGTTTAGCGTGAACAACCATAAATATGAACAAGTAAGCTTTATTTGTTTTATTGGTGTAAATACATTTTGTTTCGCTGAGTTTGAACATGGGAATTTAGTGTGGTTTTTGGAAGAGTGACCGTCAAATCGGAATATGTGTACACGTAGTCGCCATGTTGGGCGACTTCAACGAAGTTCTCCACCGGTTGTTGAACATGTTGACTGACACTTGACAGATTGCCAAAAATGTTATTATTATATGTAGTTAAGGCTACATAATTAATGTTTTAACATCAGATTATCATGTTTATAACATTACTGCCACAAAACATGTTGTTATTGATCCACATTTGTACTTTTTTTGCAGTGAAAAAAACGTCTGGCGATCAGGTGATGAAATGGAAAAGAAGTTAGGCCTAGTTTTTGTTTTGTTTACTTCTATTTTTCTAACATGTCTAATTCAGTGTGCCAGCTGGTAAGTAAAAAAAAGAATCAATAATGATCGTGGGAAATGCTGTAGCTAACTTCAAAATAATAATTAGGCCTTGAAATTGAAATTTATATTTAAAAATTAAATTAAAACCGAATAGACATGATTGATCATTGATAATGAGTGAATGCACATTCGTTAACATGAATATGTTTCAACTAGTTTTCGTAGTATTGCTACAGCGTCGTAACACAATTTTTGTCTGCTAATGCTATTGTTAGGGCATTGCAAAAACACCATCGGGCATCTATAAAGCAGTGATCCGTGCTATTCTATGCAAAATAAGAAATGAATTGTAATTTTTCTTATAATAGTTCCATTTACTTTTGTGATTTTAATCCAAACTTACTTTTTATTGAAGTAGATTTTATTTTCTTCATAATCCCCGGCTTTGGAGGATTTTTTTAAAGGGAAATAAAGACTGAGAACCATTCGGTTGATAGTCTGGTTTCATGAGCCAAACATCCTGACATTGAATAAATTTAGGTCAGGGAATCAGACAGATGACTGCCGTAACAATAGCCACTGTGTTAAATTTTGTTATGCTTTTATCAATAAGCCTAACGGCAGGTAAAAAAGAAAAGTGTTTGAACTAAAATCATTAAATTGATACAAAATGTTAGAAAAATATTTCATTTCAACCTGCATGTAAAAGTTTTGTTCTCAGAAAAACAACAACTTTATTGACTCAATTTTTCAAGTTGTACGTTTCCTTTTGTCACCACAGTCCTGAAAATTACAGCGTTTTTCCTTGTTTTCATGATTTGCATTGCGGTTTTTTACAGTGCCACTGACCTCAACACTTTGTGATATCTACCAGTACAAATTGATGGTTGACAAACTGAATTCATCAGAACACAGTTTGCCGCAGGACATTTTTTTCAGGGAATTTAAATAATTGACCTCATTTGTTGGGGATAAAAACTGTCATTGTGGCAAAGTTGGTGATATTAAAAAAAATTATGTTTGGTGCTCCAGGAAAAATATGTTTTGGTGCTCCAGGAAAAATAAACATGATATATTGGCCATCGTGCACATTACGGTATGTTGTAATGTATGCTTGTACCGTACATTGTATGCCGGTTACATGTATGCAAATTGCTCCACCGACAAATTGGGTTTTATTTGCTTAGATCTCATTTGAAAGTTAACCCTCCTGTGCAAACATACATTCTGTGCAAAGTTGTCCTTTCAGTCACAATCAGACAAGTTACTGTTTTCAACAGCTAAGAGCTCCCAGCGTACACAAAGCAGGATTGACTGGCTGTGACTGTTTATGTGTATAGGTATGCTTCGACTCCTGAACAGAGGGTCAGGGGTTCAAATCTAGCTGCTGGCCATATGTTGTGTCCCTGGGCAAGCCACTTCATCCCTACTTTGTCTCTCTCCACCCAGGAGTATACATGGGTACCAGCATTAGCTGGGCTGGATGGACTGTTATCCCATCAGGAGGAAATAGAAATATTCTCAGTCGTTTCATGCTACTGAAATCGGAGATAAATGCCGGCCTGATGACCCACATTGGCTCGTGACAGACTTTCCTTTTATTAACATTTCCAAATCCTTAAAATCCCTTGAAGGATTTAACAGGATTGAGGACGGTTTCTACTTTCCAACTTTACGAGGGATTTTGGATTCATCCTTGTCCGTGTGAAAGTCGGTGTAATTATATTCTACTGAAGGGATTTAAAGTGTCATTTTCTTTCTATTCTTTATCCCTCAGATTGCGAAGATCGGTCAGGATGAGTTGATGAAAGCTCCATTGCCCCCTGAACTTGTAGGTGGACTGTATTTAATTGAGTAAATCTCAAGATTCTGAATCTAAGGAGAAATAAAGAAAGTGCAGCTGTGAAGCGAACACATCAGGGACATCGTTTACCCTGGCCCAGTGGATATATTTTTAGCCAGACTCATCTAGTATTAGACTGCAGACTAGCGGTATCGCATTCCATGCCATCACCATGGTGTTGTCACAGAGACAGAGAGAGGAACTGTAAGTATGCACAATCATTGAATTTTTTTTCTTCAAAATGGCAAGTATCAAATTCAGTTGCTTGACTCTTAAGTCAAAAGGCCTTTTCACACTACAGCTTCTCAACCCTGGGCGAACCCTGTTCCGCTCCGGGTTGAGTTTTTTTTTTTTTTTAACCCCGCGTTGTTTCACACTTGTTCTGTACAAACCAGGCTTATTTTGCTCGGTTACTACCGTTTTGAACCAGGGACGAGCGTTTCAATCCGGGTTAAAAACTCAACCCTGGTCTAGAGTATGGTTGAGTTCAACCCAGGACGAAATTAATCTTAGGGTTGATACAGCCTGGGTTGGCGCAGGGTTGAAAATTTTCAAGTGTGAAACGCTGCATGTTTCCAACCTCGCGTCAACCCCATAAGTTTAATACTGTCATACTAGTTTCATGCTTAAGTGACAGTTGCACTGATATTTGGGATTGTGGGGTCTGTGATGTGCCTCATTGAGTAAACTGTTGAGAAACAACTTGGCGTTATTTTCACAGTACGATGTTCACCTCATGCAACGATTCTACAGGGTTGTGGACATCAGTTGAACATCAGAACAATTGTACCATTCACATGAGAACAAGCTCACTTTGTTTTTGTTGTGAGCCAGTGAAGGACACCCATGTGGTCCTGTAGAGTAAGCTTGCCCCGTAATCTTCAACTGAATGTCCACTAACATATTCCACGAGCAATGCACCTATTAGTATGAGTGCAATAGCGCATGGCAGCAAAAGTGCGCCTCATGTCTTTCAGCAACAAAAATAAATGTTTCAGATGTACTTATAGTAAGGCTGTCCCATAGATACCGAATATTGGAATATATATTCGATTATCAACCGAATATGAGAATACCTTTTTACCGCTTTGAATATTCGAAAACAAACTACACACATACACACAAGACTGTGATGTTACTGTATCATAAAGTTGCAGCATTTTAGTGTCAGGTGCTACTTTTTTTTGTCGACAGTAACTTTTTTTGTCAACAGCTGTTCATTGTTTCTATCCTATTAGCAGGTTAATTAAAGCCCTTAACAGCAGTCCTCCTGACTTGAGGCGTGCGATCACACCCCCACACCATCGCACACCTAAAACCTTCCCGAGGAGTGCGAATAATTGCACGCCTGAATTTCCCTGGACCACAGATCACACACCTAGAAAATCACACACCTAGAAAAAACACACGCCTAGAAAAATGCAGGTGTGCCTTTTTCCACACGCCTGTGATTTTCAAATCAGAAGGACTGTAATAGTTATAAAATACTTCGATCGCCTCACGCAACTTTTAACTGGCGCGCTCTGAATGAACTTTTTGACCGGTGCAGAATGCAGTTGCTCTGACAGCTTCGAATATCCGAATATTAGGTGAAAACAGTTTCGAGTAATCGAATATTAAAGTATTTGAAAAGAACAGCCCTAACTTATGGTCACTTGTTATCAAGCGCCTCAAGTTCCTTCAAGACAAGGCTATTCACAAGAGTCCATTCTGTCCAAATTGCATGCATGTATATGTATATTTTTACAAAGGGATAACAGTTTATTCAGTAATACTAATAATGTCACATTTATAGAAACATTAGGGTGTGGTTGTCTAAATTCAAGGCAATTTTGTCAAACTACAATTTTGTTTTGGTTTTGGTTTTTATATGTGTACATAGCAAAATATTTGAATTACAGTAGTACGTACATGTACATGTATATAAATCAAGAATTAAAAGTATCATTTACAGCCTTGTATAATATTTCGTGATTTTAAATTTTTTTAATATTAATTCCAATGGCACTACCTGTAGTTTACATAGTGACATCAGTTCAGCCATCTAGTGTGGCATGTGATGTATGTGAACTTGACGCTTTGGCCCTTTGTCAGATTTGTTTACTTACTGAATTCCTTGTATTGGTGATCGTACACAATCAGGATTTCCCAAACTACTATTCCTCAAAGTGTACCTATTAATACTAGAATTTTTGGAAATTGATAAACAAATTTACACCTTTTTTAGGAGGGGGGGAGGTAATGATGATTTTCCTTCCAATTCATCCATGTATCACTATCATGTATTTTTGCCATGATTTTTGTACTATACTGTTATAACTGTATACACCTTCAAAATGGAATATCAAGTTAGTCAACAGAGAAACATGGTGTGACAAAAATTGTGACATCAAGAGATGTGGTTATGTTCATTTTCTGTTGATGATAGGCAAGCATTGTATTGCCTTTATGACAAAAATTGGAATCAGAAGGATACCGTATGTTCAAATCAGAAAAAATCGGATGGTACTATTTATACAGTCTGTACACTGACACACCAGTATTCACAATTCAGACACAGATTCACCTTGAAGTCTGCTTCTTGAGCAACTGTTTACACTTGCTTTTATGTACATGTACTTAAAGGGAACATACAACATTTGCAAACATCGAAAAACAAACTACCAAGTTTTTACGAAATACCTTACTAGGATGTTGGTAAATGACAGTCTAAAGCATCCTGTAAAATTATGGCACGTGGTGTGAAGTCATTTTCAAGAAAATGGCATTTTTGTATACATTTCCAACGGTGGTCGGCCGACCACTGTTGGAAAAACCTAACTATTTTTCAACTACTGCTCCAAATTTACAATTTTTTTTCAGTCAAAATGTTGTTTGATATTGGTTACATGTTCATGAACGAGTGCAGGCCAGCTAGACTGGTTCCCTTACCTTACAATTTTGTGGCATCTATAAATTGATCCATTTTATATTTACTGGAGTCAGGGAATCAAACTTCTTGAGCATTTTTGTTTTTCTTGGTTTTTCCAGCATTTTCGAACACAAAACTTCAAACATGTCAGTGTAACAATATTTGATCTATTATACTAACCCCTCAAATACATGTAATTCATTTCTGAAAATTACAGCAAAAGCCAATGATACATGTACATTCTCTTTAAAAGTTTCAAGGATGTACAAATGGCATGCACTAAAAAATCTGTTTTGTTATATTAACAGTACATGTACTATACACACTTGTTCATGTAAATTGGTCAGCCTGCTTTGTTGGCACTTGTACAACATGTTCCTCATAAATTGAGTACTGTACATGTACTGTATGGCCGTAAAATTTCATGGCTTCCCAAATATGCAATCCCATGTGCCAATAGATGAACCTAACACTACGGAGTGCAAAGTACATGAACATGTACATGAACATACTGTGCAGTAGCACAGCATTGAAAGATAGTGGATGGTTTGACAAAGGCCTGGTTTATTTTAATCTGTCTGAAAGTGAAAGATAAATGTGTCCGTGGACTGATTTAAACTTAAGAAGCATTTGATCGAAGTTGTCTAATGTTGAACACTGGAGTACATGTACATGTACTGGTACATGATACATGTATCAAATGTCACATCAATTGGTCAGTCTGATAATTTATTTCAAAACGTTGGATTTGGACTGGAGTTTATTTCATCTACTGACATTTTGTACTAGTTTGAAACAAATCAAGTCAATGTGTACCGTACATGTAGTTTGCAAGCTTTGTATTTTAAAAATGTGTTATTAGTACGGTAAATCTTTGACCAACAAATGTAAACATCATCACCACTTTGGAGCTAATTTAAATTTCAGAAAATGTTCTAGCGCCCACTGTAACTGAAAATGAAATCAAATTTTAGAATTGGGGTAAATTTTGGAAATTGCTTTTTTACCATTATATTTATAGACATGTACATGTACCGGTATGCATGTATGTACCATACATGTATGGAATTCACTTCTTGATTGCTCTAATTAGGGTTCACTTTTTTCCATCATTCGTTTTTGGTCAATAATTTACTTCCATCAGAATTCGCCATTTAAAAAAAAATGAAAAATGCATTGATTTTTACTAACATTGATACACACACCTTCACAGAATATTTCATATCACAGATACCCGGTACGATGTCTTTTCTGTGTATTGATACAGAGAGTGCAGTTTTCCAGCTTTGCAAAACATGGTTTTCATGTACAAATTGGATGACAATTGATCCTTACAACAGTCTACATACATTGTACGTGTGTGTGGATATGCGGATAATAGCCACATACAAAATCACATTCAAATTTTATTCCGTCTGTCACATATGGTTTTCCGGCGCGCCGGTGACAACGTGGAATGAGTCATGGCATTGGCATGTGCCAAGTGCATCTTGAGCAGGTACGAACCGCGATGCGCCGTCGTTTGCGGCGCGGGGAATTAATTACATACACCCAATGGGTCTGAACTGCAGACAAGCTGTGCAAAATCTTGATCGATGAAAGAGAGACACATGTATTGCATACACACATGTACATGTTCAAGTAGTACAAAACTGGGTGTGCGTCGAAGGCCTGTAGTACTAGTATTGTACTGCACAGTATGTGGGCCATTGTGAATTGTACAACCGCTCACAAAGCTTAAGTTCGATAACCCGCAGAGCTACATAGTAGACAATTTCCTGGCTTTGTTGAAAACCACAACAGGCATTCAGAAATACTGATCCAAGTTGGTATACAAATGGAAGTTTAAAAATGTATGTAAATGATGTTTCTCTGTGCATCCAGTATACAAGATTGATACATGTACAATGTACTTGAAAAACTGAATACCATGTAAATTGTGTTGCTCTGTGCAGCCAGTATACCGGTGCAATACAGTATTACCAGTATTTTGTACCATACCCGGTAGCAAAATTGTGTTCATTGCCTTCGTGAATTCTGAGGTCAAACTTTTGTTGTGGAATATTTGAAATATTTGTGGCGGTGTTCAAGGGGTCAGATTGAGTAACAGAATAATGCGTGCTCTGTTAAATGTATTTGGCAAAGTACTACCAGTATCTACTGAACTCACTAACCCTGCTGAATCCAACAGGATCCAACTATGTCATATACTTGATGGAGCCTGTTGGATTGAGCAGTAAACCCCTAGGGTACATTCCTGATGCAAAATGTTGGATTCAGCAGGCAACTGAAC